AGAAGAATTGTTTACGATTTTTATCGTGAGAACACAGTGCCTACAATTTCGACTGTTTGGAAGAAAATGCGTGAGTGTGATCCAGAGTTTGATTATTCTGAACGAACAATGGGAAGACTTTTGAAGAATATGGGGTTCAGGTACAAGAAACTAGATAGAAGAGCCCGTGTGATGATGTCCCCTCGGATTCTTCAAAAGCGGGACGAGTATTTGTCTAGAATGGATGCTATTCGGAAGTCTGGACGCCCCATCATTTTCCTCGATGAGACATGGTGAGTACATTTATCTTAGTTAAGACTTGCAGATTATCGTTGTACGTACTGTACAGGGAGGGTCATGTGCTTTGCCTAGTACTGCGTATGAAAAGTGCAGGTTTTGTCAACCAAATTATAGGCGTGTGTTTGTGTGTGTGTGGGGGGGGGGGGGCAGCGTTGACTCGCGCTCGTCTTTTTAAGGATGCGCAGAAACGTGTTATTAAGATCGCCGATCTGCTCCTCAGGTTTGACACCCATGACGTCACGAGGAGGGGCTGGACGGACGGTACCGATCTCTGCAACCTGGACATGCCTCCCTCCCGCGGGAAACGCATCATCATTCTCCATGCCGGCCACGAGGGAGGATTTTTAGAGGGCTGCCTCCTCCTCTCGGCGAAGAACATGAAGGACGCCTGGGCCGACTACCACCAGGACATGAACGCGGAGCTGTTCGAGAAGTGGTTCGACGGGCAGCTCTTGCCCGCACTGGCCCGGACGTTTCCTGGGGAATCGTGTGTCATCGTCATGGACAACGCCCCGTACCACAGTCGGCTGAAGCATTTAACACCGTCGATGAACATGAGGAAGGACAGAATCGTGGAAATCATGCAGCACCACCGCCTCGCTGTCCCTCTAAAAAACAACGGCGATGTGGCGAAGAAGACGGTCCTACTCCAAGCGTGGGCACAGGCGGGTATTCCTAAAGTGTACCAGCTGGACTGTGATGCGGCGAAGGCGGGCCATGAGGTGTTGCGTCTCCCTCCGTACTGGTGCATTTTTAACCCTATTGAGAATGTGTGGAGTTGGGTTAAAGGTACACTCAGAACTCAGAACGCATCGCTGAAAGCTTCTGGGGCGTCTTTGCTGTATCAAATTCGCGAGGTTGTGTCGAGCATGCCCCAGCATTTCTGGGCAAACTACTGCCGAAAGGCTAGACGTGAGGAAGACACGCATATGAGGGCACCTAGAATTGAGCCATTCATAATTAATACAGAAGGTGACAGTGATGATAGTGATTATAGTGAAAATGAATGAACCCCTTAAGTGTA